TATCTTTACACTGCCTCATTTGGAGATTTTACCAGCTTCCATTGGTTTGGTTATCATCTATCTCCCCTACCCCCACTCCAAACCCCTATATATACCCATATCTCTTCCAAAGAACACTACCATCCTTTTGGTCCCCCAGATTCACAATCGCAGCATAATCTTTGTCTCTTCTATCTTTTTCACTACATACTTTTAATTGTTAAATCTTATTATTTCTTCCTACATGACATCTCCAACATCATTCACACTATTCATACAGCTTTAGTTCAGGCCTTTATCACCTTTATCCTGAACTATTACAATAACTTCCTAATTGGTCTCTCTTTCTTAAGTCTCTCCCTCATTCCAATCCAACGTCAACACTGCTGACAAAGTGATTTTCCTTAAATGTAAATTTTTCTGTCAATCTCCTATTCATTAAACTCTACTAGTATCGTCTTCTAGGATCAAATACGAACTCCTTTTCCTAGCTATTAATGCCTTTCACAATCTGGACCCAAACTATCTTGACAAGCTCATTCAGTCAGTCAACCAGTCCATAAATATATATTTATTAAGCAAGTATGTAATAGACACCGCGCAGATATTCAGCAAACAAATACAGTAGATGAAACAATCCCTACCTGTAGGGAGCTTACATTCACTCCACCTATACCTCTGGGCCTTTTCACTGATGGACCCCTCCCTATTCTAGAATTCACTTCTTCCTTACCTTGCCTATTTTCCTTCAAGATTTGCTCTTTTTCTGACCACCCTTCTACCTCCATTGCTCATTTCTCTGTCCCTAAACAATCTCTATATTTAATTTTATATTTATTTGGCATATTTTCTCTCCCTGTGTCTGTCTCTGTCGCTCTCTCTATACATATGTGTGTATAGATATGCATATACATATATGTGTGTGCACATACACACACGTGCATGTTGTCTCCCCCTTGAGAGCAAAGACCATTTCATTTTTTTCTTTGTATATCCAGCACCTCATAAAGTACCTGACAAATAGTAGGCACTTAGGAAACAAATAAACAAATAAATAAAATGCTCCATGATTATCTGATAACTTGATTTTCCCCCCAAGACAAACAGCACAAATATCTTCAGGTGGGATAACTGGGCCAGAGCTAGAAGCTCATCTAGGGTGGGGCCCTTGTGGAAAGGAAGATGCTTGGCTGGTAGCTTCTTGGTTTAACCAATTATAATTGCTAGTTGGTGTTAAGCTTGATTATGTCTGTATTACTGAAGAAAAGTTTTACCAGCGCTCTTCTAACTTTGAGTTCCCAAGGGAATAGCTCTGATCTTACTGCCCTAGTTATGCCGTAGCTGTATCTGAGAGTTCTTTGTAATCATCATGGTACCTAGTCTAGTAGCAAGCCCTTAGTTAATACTCACATTTATTTTATTTATATACTCAGAGCCTAGAAGAATACCTGACACAGAGAAAGTGCTTAATAAAAATATGTGAAATGATGGTTGATTTGATTTGCTCGATTTCCCAATCTTTTCTATATAGTTATTTCCTTTTGTTATTATTCAAGCCAAAGCAAAATGCTCAGTTTTCTCAGGGGAAATGTTCTCTTCACCACCCTTGCCTCATTGGCTACAAAGTAAAATTATTTTTCAAGCAAACATTAGTTATTAATTTTCAAGGCATCATGAAAGACACCATAGCCTACCAGAAAACACACTGGACTTGGTGTCAGAAGCCCAGCTCTAAGATTATTTCCTTTGGCTTTGATAGACTAAGTAAATAAGCTAAACATAGTGTTAAGCTTGAGAGACATATGAAATTAAACAAGACAGTTTCCAGCCCAAAGAGTTTCTATTCCCATGGGGGAAGAAAATAGACAGAGGTTCTGGAAAGCAAGGGGATTGAGGGCATGGGAAGGTAACTGGTTCTAAAGGTAGGTAAGGCAAAAGGCTCACTCAGCTTGTCAGAGTATGAGGAGCCAAGAGTAGGGCCCTGGTTTCTGAGGGGGGGACAGATGATTGGAGAGAGCCAGGTCAAGAAGACTTTGAGAAATGGTTCCTGGCTAAACACAGTAAAAGGTTCATGAGAATGGAGGGGCCAGGATTTTACCTTAATGAGTCTCAGTTCCTTCATTAACAAAATGGATGTAGTAATATTACATTACATATTTCACAGGATTGTATGTACATTGTATCTCTCCTTATAGAATGTAAGCTCTGTGTCCGGCACATAGTCGGTAGCTAATCAATGTTTATTGATTTATTAATTATACAGTTGTGACTTAGGTGAAATGGTAGATATAAAATGCTTTAAAATTCAGCGCACTTTATAAATGTCAGCTATTAACATTATCATCATAATTCTTATGCTGGGCATAAAGGACATACAATAACAAGGTCCCTTTCCTTAAGGACCTTGCAATCTCAAAAAATGTTCAGACTTTTATTTTGAAGTAGGGGCAGGGTTTGGGGCAGATTTGGACCTGTGATTTCATTTGTGTAGGAAACAACCAGACACAGAAATTCACTCCACTGTTCAAGGTTAGCAAGTCATCCATAATTTATAGTCTCAGAGAGTTGCCTAGAACACTGAAAAAAATTATGTGACTAGCCTAAGGTCATACAGCCAGTACGTGTCAGAGGTGAGGCTTGAATCTAGGATTTCCTGAATTCAAAGTTAGCTTTCTCTCCACTTTGTTATGCTTCATTTACATGCTATATGATCGATAAACAAGCATTTATTTGGTGCTTACTATAGGTCACGTACTTTGCTAACCACCAGGGAAGTAAAGAAAGGCAAAAACAGCTCTTGCCCTCAAGAAGCTCACAATTTAATGGGGAAGGAAACATGTATAACAATTAGATAGACAGACAGACAGACAGACAGAAGGATGGACGGAAAGATGGACGGATGGATGGATGGATGGATGGATGGATGGATGGATGGATGGATGGAGGGGTGGATGGATGGATGGATGGATGGACAGACGGATGGACAGATGGATGGATGGATGGATGGAAAGACAGATGGATAGACAGATGTGTGTATGTATATGTGTGTGTATATATGTACACACACACACATGTTTATATGATAAATTGGAGGTAATCTCACAGGAAAGGCACTAGCATAATTACAGTAAGAATAAACTACTTTCAGCCAAAGATTTCTTAGAAAGTGAAACAGACTGACATTTAAACTTGACCTTGAAAAATGGATAGGGTGCCAAATAGGCAGAGGTAGGGGTTTAGAAGTGATTCCAGGAATGAGGAATAAGATGAGTAAAGACATGCAGTGCCGTGTTCATAGAATGGTAAATAACAGTAATAACAATTAATAATAACATTGATTATGGTGATGGTGGTGGTGGTGTTGAAGATGATGATAACTGCTAGCATTTAAGAGTTAAAACCGCATCTACCCTACCATGAGCTAAGACTAGAAAGAAGTAGAATCGATTTAGTTGATCCAGAGACAGCCAGTTCACACAACAGATATCTGTACTTTGCCTCCACCCTCTCTGTGATTCAGGCAAACTTTTGCCAAGTAGAAATGTCAAGAAAAATCTTCCCGGGTCAGAAGAGTTAAAGCAGTTCTTCTGATTTGTGGAGGCGTTATCTTCTCTCCACATTATTCATTTAAAAAGCAAACAACTAATAATTGCTTCAGCCTAGATGTATGGCATTTATATTGCTCATTTCATCATTACAAATGCAAGCTAGATTCCATTCATATTTACAGGGCTATTTAAAGCAAAGAATCTAAATTGTTCAGTCTGAGCAAAAAAAAAAAATCTTTCTGTGGAAAAGCATGTGATTCTCAAGATTGCAAAGGGGAAATAATAAAGGGTTCTTACAGAAAAAGCAGAACCATTAAAAGGATGTTAGGGCAAAGGTCAAAAAAGACATTTTGAACAAGAGATGTGAAGAATATTAATAATAATAGATTTATATAGAGCTAGAAGGTTTTGCCAAGGATTTTAAATATATTGTTTATTTGATTCTCACTATAACCTTGTGAAGATAGGAGTTATTATTTCTCCCATTTTCCAGGTGAGGAGACTGGCACTTCGAGAGGTTACATGATATCCCCACAGTAAGAAAGCCAAAAAGTATCTGAGGCAGGATTTGAATTCAAGTCTCTTTGACTCCAACTCCCATGTTCTAATATTATGCCATGCTGCCTCATGAAATGTGCCCTTATTTGAAGAAGAATGGCACTACTCCATGGAGAGTGTGGAAGAGATAGAAATCGTAGGACATCAGTATGAGGCCACAACTTGGAGAGACTACCAGACATTTATAGAATAAAGTAAGGCAACCACCTGGTAGCAAAAATAATAATAATAATGCCAGTAACAACAACTAATAGTGCTAGGCACTGGGTCAAACCTTTACAAATGTGATCTCATTGTTCAATTAATGAATAACTAATTACAAGCTCCCTCTGATGACTGAAAAAATGGCGTGTTCTCTCAGGTGGGAGCTACCCCTCCCGGGTGTCAGAAGGTGAAAGGACATTCAAATTTGTAGTCACTGTATCTGAACATTAATAATAATAATATTATAATACTATTCATATAGCACCTACCGTGTGCCAGGAACTGTTATAAGCACTTTACAATTATGATCTCATTTGATCTTCACAACAGTCCTGGGAGGTAGGTGCTATTATTATCTCCATCTTACAAATGAGGAAATTGAGGCAAATAGGGTTAAGTAACTTGCCCAGAGTCACACAGCTAGTAAGTCTCTGAGGCTGCATTTGAACTCAAGTTTTCTGACTCCAGGTCCAGCACTCTATCTGTGCCACCTAAATGGTAGAAAAAAAAATACTTTCTATCCAATTAGAAGGCCTGGGTTCAAATCCTGCCTGTTTGACCTTGGGCAAATCACATAGACTCCCGGGGCCTCACTCCTCCCCCCCCCGAACAATGAGGGGGTTGGACTGGATCTGTCTTCCGGAGTCCCTATAGTTCTAAATCTATGCATCACACTCATCACATTCTAATTTGATTTCTAGATGATGGGAATAATGACTTACAACTGGAACTTAGAAGCCACTTAGTCTAACCTCGCCATTTTACACATCCTGAAACTGAGAGCCAAAGGGAAGAAGCCATCTACACAAAATCAAGCAGGTAGGAAGGATGAGAGTCAGGATCTGACTCCAGGTTTTCTGACTACAGACATAACTTGGTTTCCACTATACCACACCAAATACCAAATTGCTGTTCCAATTTAAGTTACCTGAAGTAAGAGACTTCGGCTGCTTTTCCCATTTGGACTGCTACCCCTGAGAAGCTCAGTGTCCCACCCACAAGTATATAAAAGGATGGTGTTAGTCATTTCAGTCATGTCCAACTCTTTGTGATCCCATCTGGGGTTTTCTTACAAATAAAAAATAGATGGTAGGAAGATGGATTGTTCATTGGTGGGAGCTCCTGCCCCCGGGGGGAGGAGACCAGGGTGGCCGAAGTAGTGTCGCTGGCCCTAAAAGCATAACTGGGAGAAGCATTCAAATGTAATCCAAGTCTCATCGGGGAGTGTGGAGAAGTACAGACTATTAGAGTACACTGGGAAAGCTTCTGACTCAATTAATAATTAATTTGTTCCCTTCTTCCTGTATTGCTAGCTCTGGGATTCTGAAAGGGAAACAAAGCCTCTACCTATAGCTATGTGTCTTCCCAGGCTTCATTAAGCCAGGGCCAAGCCTTCTAAGCCTTGGATCTGAAAATAAGACGCTGCTTTGTCTTTGCATGTTTCCTGGACAAACAGACCAAGAAGGGATGGAGGGAGGGGCACAACAGACTCACTCTGTCTCTACCTATCTATCCAGACTCGATAGTCAGCATCAAACAATCAAATAAATATACAAAATAAGGGCTAGATTCTCACATAAAATGTTCGCACATGATAAGGCACAAATAAATTAATAAACAATTTTTTAAAAACCATGAATTTACTTTTATTCTGTGTTCCCTTCCTGGTCTATCTGAAATCCCCTTCCTTCTGACTTTTCTCTCTTTCCTTTTTGTTTTACATGTAATTATTAAATATATATGATATATAGCATTATAGTTACATATAATACATTTGTATAGTTATTGTATATGTATGTACATATATATGTGGCATTAATTATACTAATTTCAAACTGTGTCACTTCATATGTATTTCTATATTTCTTTACAGGTAAGTAGGTGATAAGCATTTTTACATATTTACTATGGTGCCAAGAACTGTGCTGAGTGCTTTACAAATATTATCTCATTTGATTCTCACAATAACCCTGAGAAGTTGGTGCTATCAGTGCAGTTGAAGAAATTGAGAGATACAGAAGACAAGTGTCTTGTCCAGGGTCATGCAGTTAGTAAATGTCTGCGGCCACATCGGACTCCGGTCTCCCTGATGGGAGGTCTGGCATTTTGTGCACTATGGCGCCACCTAGCTGTTTCATATTACTTCTCAAAGGGTTGGGAGGTCACAGATTGAATAAGATTTCATCATCAAAGAGTACTCTGAAAGGAGGAAATTCTCCCAGTGATTAGTGGGACTTCTCTGGATAACAAAGAATAAGGGACTTGCCCATATTGACATAACTAATTATCTGTCAGGAATGAGATTTGATCCCAAGTCTTCCCGACTCTGAGGTCAGCTATCAATCTACTGTCCCATACCATCTCATAATTTTTCTTTTGATGCCACCAGCATATTTCATTATAGAGAAAGCATGTCATTAGGATAAATGACCATCTTGGATTCAGAAAATTTGAGTTCAAGTCCTGCTGCTGATACATATTAGTTGAATGACCTTGGCCAAATCATGTCACTTCTCAGTGTCCAGACAACTTCCTTAAGATGCAGAAAAATCACCCCATACAATGATGAAATCATACATAAACATTTAACAAACAAAACAAATAAACAAGCAAAAGAAAGAATGGAGAAGAAAAAAATCTCAAATTAGTAGACAGTAATTTGCTTAACAAATCTTTTTTATACATATATTTTTTTTTCAAATTTTTTGCTATCATAGACAGGTCAAGTATATTTTTACATAGATAGATTCCTCCCCTCCCCCTTTTACTGGATAAAATGTCATCAATGAGATGATTGAGTCATAAGTATAACCCTTTTATAACCCTTCTGGAAAAATGCTAAATTGCTCAGGTTTTGGCTGACAAGAAATTCAACATGAGTCATATGTGTCTTATGGCTCCCAAAAAAGCTAATGTAATCTTGGGCTTGGGGGATCTAGGTAGCATGGTAGATAGAGTGCCCAGCCTGGAGTCAGGAAGACTCATCTTTCTTAGTTCAAATCTGGCCGCAGACACTTACTAGCTGTGTGACTCTGGGCAGGTCATAACACTATTTGCCTCAGTTTCCTCATCTCTGAAATGAGCTGGAGAAGGAAATGGCAAACCACTTCAGTGTCTCTGTCAACAAAACCCCCAAAGGTATCAGGAAGAGACAGTCACAGCTGAAAACCACTGAACAAAACAACAATCTTACACTGCAGCAAGAGGGACATAATGGTGAGACCTAGGAAAGGGATATGCCATCGTACTCTGCCCTGGTGAGATGATGTCTAGAATGCTACATTTAGTTCCAGGCACCACCTCTTAGGAAGAACATTGATCAGATCTAGAGAAAAGGGAAACAAAATGTGGTTTAAAATGGCTTTGAACTCATGCCTGATTATTTGGTGATTTAGCTCTTCAACACTAATGGTACAGCTAGCTGTTGGACATTGGGCTAATATCTCACATTTAAGTACCAACAGCTAAATTAACATTTATAAACAAAGAACTGTGTGCTTCATCACCCCCCTCCACTCCCTTTTCTTCTACTGCCTCCACAGAAAAGAAGGGAACCACAAAGGATTGAGATCCATTTTGTGTGTTTACTTTTTCTTTGTTTACTTTTTCTTTGTTTCATGGGTTGCCTCACCTAAGAATTCATCATCAGGTGTGAGTCTCTTATTTTTTAACCAGGCTGCTTCTCAGAATACATACATTGTCCGTTTCCTGGGCTACATTTAAAGTATTTATATCATGGGAGAGCCTGCTAGACCTTGCTTCCCACTGATACAGCCTTCAAAAACCCAGGGTCACCTACACACCATGAAGAGGGACTGGAGGAGACAAGAGTAAAGTACTTTCATATATACCGAGTTCTATTTCTGCACCCTCCAGTTTCCTCCTTTGGTTTATTTCTCTATTCTCTTTCTAGTACCAGTCTTTTGTCTTGCTTGAATAACTTATTGCTTAGAGTGCATTTTGAAAGCTAGTAGTGTTATTCCCCTTCTACTGACTTTCTTTTTCATGGTTTTCCTTGTTTTTTGGTCTATTTTTCTCTCAGAATTTTGTCATAATATCATTTAATTCCATTAAATAATCTATTGGAATTTTGGTAAGAACCACACCAAATCTCTAAGTTGGATTGGGAAGTGCTGAAATTTATTATTGTATTTATTCAACCTTGCCATAAGCAAGAACTGCCTCTCTCTCTCCATTTGTTCAACCCTTCCTTGACTGTTTTGAAGTGATCTTTGTATATTCCTGTTGCAGGTCTTGATAAGTCAAGGTCCGAATATTTACTATATTATCATTGTTGTAAAGCTTATTTCTTCTGTCAGTTTCTTTCTGGATGTTTGTTGTTGTTGTTGTCACTTCACTCATGCCCCCATTTGGGTAAAGATACAGGAGTGGTTTGCCATTGCCTTCTCCAGCTCATTTTACAGATGAGGAAACTGAGGCAAGCAGAGTTAAGTGACTTGGCCAGAGTCACAAAGCTAGTAAAAGTCTGAGGCCAGACTTGAACTCAGGAAGATGAGTCTTCCTGAATCCAGGACCAGAACCGGGTTGATCCATTTGTGTGATTCTTATCCAGAAGTTAACACACGGTGAGCATCTTTATGAAACACCTTACAAACAAGGTATCATGCAGAAGTGGTATGAAGAATATTACTGACATGCATGACCAAGAAAATCACAAAAGCTGGTCACATGGTAAGAGTGACAGATAATTCTGGATATTCCCTGGGCCCCACTGTATCTTTAAGATTTACAAATTTGAAAAGGCCTTCTAACACATTAGGGGAACCCATTGGAACGAATTCATGGGAGACATGATTAAGAGTCACCTAAAATAGGTAGTCATGGATGGGGTCTGGTCTGTACCATTGGAGGAATCGCTTAGATTAACGAGACCACAGCTCCATTGGAGTATCTTATACACTACTATTTTTTTTTTTAATTCTTGTTCTCTGTATCTCACCAGGGCTGGAAGTAGAGCAGTCACTCATGGGCCTATCCTAGATCCAAAGAGAAGCTTTGATCTCCTCCATTTTTCTGACCTGGGCCTGTTTGTCCCTCCTCAGGCAGTCTGGTGTGGCCTTCCACCATCCCAGTGCTAGACCTAGTACAGACGCATGATTGGCCTTAGCTCTAATTCAGTTCAGACCCCTCAAAATGAAGTGAGTCACCAGCCTCATCCTCCCCCAGGACCAGGGTCTACAGGTATGTGCTACTCCACCCAGCTACCCTACTTCTTTAATAAATTAATTTTTGACATGCTTACATTAAAGGAACGCCCATTTCTCCCCCAATATGTCTGACCTTTCCTTCTTGGTCTCCTTTGCTGGGTCTTCATCTTTGTTCAGCTCACTAACTATGGGTATTCCCTAATCTCCAACCTTGGCTTCAATCTTTTGTTTTAGATGATCTTATCAGCTTTCAAGGACTTGATTTTATATGTCTACAGATGACTCCCTGATCTATGATAGCCCAGTCTCTCTCTCTGGAGTGCCACCATGCAATCAATTACCTAGAGGACACTACAATCTGAATTCCCTGTAGGCATCTTAAACTTAACGTGTCCCAAACATAATTCAACACCTTTCCCCAACATTTTCCACATCTGCTGAATGTCATCATTTTTGTCGAGGAGCCCCACAATCCTTCTGGTCATCTGAGGTCATGATCTTAACATTATTCTCAACTCTTCATTCCCGTTCACTTTACATATTCAATCAGGCGACAAAATATGTGATTTCTCTCTCTATCCCATCTCCCACATAGGTCTCATTCTCTCCAAACACAAAGCTACCACCGCACCGTGCCAGTTGAGGCCCTCA